TATATACATATTTGATGATTGCAGACCTCTGACTAAGGGAGTTGTCGTCTAATGCTTTTGTAAGACATGTGAGAGAGATGGGGTTGAGAGAAAGTGAGGAAGTGAGAATGTAAGGCCATCAAAGGCCAAGTTGGAGATGTTGGGTTTATATGGCCTTTAAAGGCCCAATGGGTGTGTAATGAAAAACATTTATTATAGTGGAACATAAACTCAGTAGTAGTGTGGTCCCTCGAAGACCATAATAAGAAAATGGATACCAGATTGTGCTTGACGATCTATGCCAGTCGGTTGGAAAACCCAAGGTACCTGGGCATAAAAAAAAAAAAAAAATCGAGAAGGGATTTTGGGTTAGCCCTTGATGAGGTCGGAGCTTATGCTTAAATGAGTGAGCCGAGGGACTGTGTGACCCTTGTGTGTGATGGTAGGCCTACAAAGACGGGGGCCAAAACCTCATCCATGTTTCAACACAAGGCATGCATATAGATAGATCGTTCGGGAAAGCTAGATACCTACGTTTGGGTGAAGCATATGCATGTGCGAGAGATACCCCTTTGCGCCATAGAGTTGTGGTCGCATCAGGTCGTTGTGACCTTTACTTGTCTCTAGGGGAAGATCTGTAATCCACGGGCTGGGATTGCGACTCTTTGGCTCATCGACCACACTTTAGTGACCCGCTAATGAGCCCCTACTTGGACTGTGGGTCATGAGAAACACTAGGTCGGTTCGATAAAGCAAGTGTGGTCTGTAGTCCACAGTTAAAGGCCCTATGGGTGTGTAATGAAAAACATTTATTATAGTGGAACATAAACTCAGTAGTAGTGTGGTCCCTCGAAGACCATACTAAGCAAATGGATACCGGATTGTGCTTGACGATCTATGCCAGTCGGTTGGAAAACCCAAGGTACCTGGGCATAAAAAAAAAAAAAAATCGAGAAGGGATTTTGGGTTAGCCCTTGATGAGGTCGGAGCTTATGCTTAAATGAGTGAGCCGAGGGACTGTGTGACCCTTGTGTGTGATGGTAGGCCTACAGAGACGGGGGCCAAAACCTCATCCATGTTTCAACACAAGGCATGCATATAGATAGATCGTTCGGGAAAGCTTGATATCTACGTTTGGGTGAAGCATATGCATGTGCGAGAGATACCACTATGCGCCATAGAGTTGTGGTCGCATCAGGTCGTTGTGACCTTTACTTGTCTCTAGGGGAGGATCTGTAATCCACGGGCTGGGATTGCGACTCTTTGGCTCATCGACCACACTTTAGTGACCCGCTAATGAGCCCCTACTTGGACTGTGGGTCATGAGAAACACTAGGTCGGTTCGATAAAGCAAGTGTGGTCTGTAGTCCACAGTAAAAGGTGGAGTACCCCGTGTTCCTAAACCATATGGATCCACTTCCCACCATATTAATTTAATTGTATTCATTTTATTATTAAATTATTTTAGATGTATTATTTGAATTTTTATGAGTCATTTGATATTTTATTCCTTATTTTTGGACTTATAAAAATGAAATTATTGATTTACAAAGTTATAATGTTTTGAAATTCATTTTATTTAATTTTAAAATATTTATTAAAAAAAATACATAGGGGCCCATAGTGCACATGGGTCACCATGTCGGTATTAGGTGGAGCCCCACATACCATATATGGGTGGCACGCCCCACCCTTGGATACCTTCTCTTGTTGCTTTGTCTTCAAGTTTCTTAAATATGGTAACTATATCTTGTAGCATATGGTCAAATATTGATTAGGAAATATTGATCATATCTTATCTTGATTATTGAAGGAATATCTTGACTTGATATTATTGAATTATTCTTATGAAAAATATGAGATGGAATATGCAATTTATGATATGCACTATATCTTTAATGGATTTAATTTATTTAAATATATTGATTATAAGGGGTGATTATTATTATTTTTTTAAAAAAATGTACTTCCCTAGCAAAAGATTACATAGGTCTTTCTTTCAAGGTTTTGTAAGCCTTATAAATAGGTTGGAAAGCCTTATCACATGCCTCTCCCAACCTCTCATATATAAAAAATATTGGCCATTTAATTGTTTCATGAATAACTATTCTAAAATAGGTGCTATTTCTTTTATTTTTTTCATCTTTTTTATTTTTCATAAATTTTCATTGTTTTTTATTTTATTTTATTCTTCATGCATCTTCATATAAATAGGTATCGTTTTTTTATTTTTCATTCAATTTCCATTTTTTTTTTTATTGTTCATTTCAACTTCATGCAGCGTCTTTTATTTTCTTGCAACCCAGGTACTTTTCTTCAAATTTCTAATTACATGTCAAGTGAATTCTCTATATGTTATGTGGTTCCATGGATGTTAATTTACTGGATAGCACTATTGATGGGGGGATTACAAGTTATTCTATATATAACAATTTATGTGGTTCTATGTATGTTAATTTACTAGATAGCACTGTTGATGGGCCGGGATTACAAGTTACCTTATATTTAACAAGGTTGATCTCAATCCAAACGCCTACTCTCCAACTTTTACAAGTCTCTATTGGAAAAGAAGAAAGGTTATACTTATTTCTCTACATCTAAATTTTGTAATTGTATGACTTTTCAGGTATTTTTTCAATTTAGTGAAGTTTAACCAAGTTTGAATGTAAGTTGAAGTTTTCCCTCTCTCTCCTCCCCCTCCTTTTTTTTTTCTTTTCAAGTATTCTTCCCATTTTACGAAGATAAGAAAACTCATTTATCTTTAGCGGTACGTTTTTGCATTTTTTCTACTATTTATTGTTGAAATTTTACTACTTCATGTATAAGATAAATTTAAGTGTAAAGTCTTATGCTTCAAAAAATAATCTACAACTATATTTTTATTTTTTAAGTGTAAGTATATATTTGTTTCTTTTTTATTTTTGTTTATTTTTTATTTTTTAAGGGTAAAGTTTTATTTTTATTATAAGTGTAAACTAATCTATAACTATTTTTTGGTTTCCTTTCCAAATACTTTAAAATTTCCTTTAATTTTCAAAATAAAAAAAATTGGTTTTCAATTCTTCAGTTTCAAAATTTTAATTCTTTAAAATTTTATTGGTAAGCATTCACTTACTTTATTAAAGACTTTAAAAATCAAATGGAAATTTATTTTTAAAAAAATTATATGTTTTGGAAATTATTTGTTACCTATTTCTAAGTTTATTATAATGAAATATCAATCTATGAATTACCTGATTATCTATACAAATATGATGATGAGTTTTCACATTTATATTAAGAATTTTGAAAGACTGCAAAAATAGTAAACCAATTTTAAAACTTTTTATACTTCTAAGCCTTGGATTTTAAATCCTTTTTCAAATTTATTTGGTTTGTGACAATTTTTTTGGATGCAGTTTTTATGCGGCCAAGCCCACCTATGTCGAAATGTAGGCCTCTTAATAATCTATTTTTAAGATGGATTTTAAGACTTAATTTTTAAAGACACGTAATCGCTCACATGGAGATCATGAATATGAATATATAAATAAATTTTAAAAACTAAAAATAATAACTCTAGTAAGAAAACATTTGAACCGTTAGTTTCCATTGATTTTAGACCGCACATGGAGAAATACAGGCTGGAGAAATACAGTCCAGCCTGCATGAAACAATTTTCCCTTCTTTTTTATACTCTTTTATCTAAGTTTTAGTATTTCCAAGTAATTTATAAATTTTATTTGATCATTTTACAGACATTTATTTCCTGTGGTAGATCTACGTGCAACGCATGTAAATCCACGAGTCTTTGAGAAAGGGAGAGGCATGGCCCGGGATTTTTTTCCCTTTCGGCGGCATACCCTCTTTATTTTTATTTTTATTTATTTTCTTATTCGCTTTTTGTAAACTTGCACAACTTGGCTTAATTGCCTCTGGATTTGGCCGAGTCCCAGGTCCTAGGTGAGTCTCGAAATATTGTTTACAACATTGGATGATACAATTTATTAAACATTATTCACTTGGAAACCAGATCTTGAGATTAACAAGGTTTCAGAATATTTTGTACCAACTAACCAGGTAAAAAAAAGAAACACACACCAATTTACACCAAACTCAAGGGAAACTTTATGAAAACCTTAACTGCATTACATACAAATCAATTCTTATAACCATTTCAAGTATTATTCCAACCCCAATATACTCCCAAGTTCAAGCCAATGTCAACAATCAAGTTAAAATGCCGGATTAAATTGGTCATTCAATTCAAAATGCTATGAACAGTTGTACACATATCACCTATCATCTCTCTTGATCAATTGTCGCCCTGCAAAGACCCAATTACAAAGGATTAAACAAAAGCGACATGCTTCTTCCAATTAAACAACAATTAACATCAGTAATAAGTAGGGCAACAAACATATAACTTGTACGCTTAGCCGTATTTATCTCAACAGGATATTTTCAGGGTGCATTTTGATGGGATGCTAATGAAACGAGAAATTCATTGAGATTCATTATTTTCAATATGTATTTATCTCAAAAACCAATATGAAAGCTTAAATTTCCTAAGTTCTTAAAAGTACATAATACATGAACAATTTTAAATACCATACTTTGAATAAAGTATATATTCCAGCATTTGGAAAACACTATAAAATACTAGGCACTAAAAGAAAAATTATGTTGTTTCGAATACCCAGAGTCATTATTGAGATTCATAAAATCAAGATAATGAATTAATAATGCATCAGCTTAAACTAACATAAAAATTATGTCTTGTATAAAGAAAATGACCCACAACAAACTTTTTGATAAACCATGACAAAAATTAAAAAAAACAAGATGAATGTTCAGATATAACAGTTGGTCTGAAAATCCCATATATTACTTATCACTTGAACCTTTTCATATTGTGATCACAAAGTTCTGAATTTCAAATATGATTAAAATGTTGGATCAGGGGGGTTATACCAAGGAGGAGAATCCTATCAATCACTTCCACATTCTTCATAACTCAAGGCTTCTGAAATGGTATCCAGCCTCCCCTCCTCTCCTGTTATTACTAACAAAGGTAAATCACATACCCAAAACATTAAACTTTTAAGAAGTCCGAAAATTTGTTTGCATCATAAGGATCTAGGGGGGGTAGCAGGTCGGGTCTAGCTGGACCTGGACCCGAATAGTATTCCGGTCCAAAATTTGGACCCATATTCGGACCTATCGGGTCCCGGGTCTACTCGTCGGTTCCCAAGTAGGGTCGGACCCATTGCCACCCTATGACTAATGAGCTTTTTTTCTTTTTTTTTTGCCCTTTTTTTACCATCATATACCTATAACTATGAGCTTTTTTTTTGCCAATAATACTGTAAATGTTGCCAATATTATGACAATATGAACACCTAGTGCGCCTAAAGATATATGATTGCCATCATATACCCTATGACTAAGGGTACGGGTCGGGTCCGGCTGGGCCCAGACCCGGACTCAAATAGTATTTGGGTCCAAAATTTGGACCCATACCTGGACCCGAGGTCGGATCCCGGGTCTAGTCGGGTCCGTTGCCACCCCTATAAGAATCTCACCTTGGCACTCCTTTTTTGGAGACCCTAGAAAGCCGTCTGGCTGTGTAGCAAGAAATGGAGACCTGTAGTAGTCGAATATGTCTTTAAACACCAAAAGAGAAAAAATCAGTCCTGGCAAATGGAAGGTATTTCACCTGTGGGATGTATGCGTGCATGTGTGGAAGGTATTTCAACTGTGGGATGTGTGCGTGCATGTGTGTGAGGGTGTTTGTGTGTGTGTGTGAGAGAGAGAGAGAAAGAGAGAGAAAGAGACCTGCATTCTGATACATGTCCATTGTCAAATCAGAAAGACTAAAGTTGCGAGGAATATTGGCCAAGAATCCACATGCTGGTCCTCCAATGTCATCTAACCCAGCTCCCACACCTTGGGGATTCAAATCCCCTCCATTAAGCGAAGCAACGCCATTAAGTGAAGCAACACCATCATCTCCAATAGCTCCAACACGGTTGCTATCTTGGACATTCCCATCTATTCCAAAGGCATATGGGTAATGGCTTGGGAACCCAGGTTCAGTCTTAGGTACAATGCCATTGGTTCCATTAAGCATACCGAAGCGTGAATGCAAAACTGCCATTGAATCTGGTGAGACATCCATACTTGAAGGTGGGGCAGAGGCTTCATCCATGCAACGCAAAGGAGGGTGAGGCATGGAGCTTCCTCCACCTCCATTCATAACTGCAGCTGAAGGAGCCAAATGATGGTGGTGATGCATGTCCGGTCTTGAAGGAGCTATTGGCTGATTCATAACATAGAATTCTTGTGCTTGTTGCACTACATGAAAAAAAGAAAAAAGAAGAAGAAGCAATATAGATTCTTGAAGACCCATGATGCATACAGAAAAGTGTTTTGGGAAGAAATCATTGGTTTCTTCTTCTTTTTCTTTTTATTGTTTGGGGAGGGGGGGTGGGGGGAGAGGGTTCGGGGAGGAGAGAGTGTTCTCAGAAAAGTACACTAGCCAGTTCGATTGGGAAAACCATTGTCCATCGAGGTCGCCACTGTCATGTAATAATGAACAGCAGTAACGGGACGATTTCGTATTTTGGTGGGACCCACGACCTGTATATCACTGTACATCCCTTCCTCAGACAGCACTGAAACTGCATTAGTTTGGGGGAGAGATAGGAAGATCTCGAAAAGGATAAGCATACTACGGTCCTCTAATGAAAACCAATGTCCATCAAGGTCATTCACTGTTGAATGAAATGAATGGAAGTGGAGAACCATTGGGAGAAGCCTGTTTTGAGAGGTCCCACAGTCTCTAAACAATTGTTCAAGTGATGATGCTATTGTATTTTTTTTATTTTTATCCTTTTTGTTGAGAGGGAGGGAGACAGTTTTCAAAAAGGGAAAGCATACACTCCTCTGGCCTAATGAAAATCGTTATCCATCAAGGTCATCACTACTTAATACAATGACAAAACAATAATGGAGAGGTTTTGGTGGGTCGGCCTATCTCTAGATCACTATCCATCATTTCTTCATAGTGATGACACTACTGCAATTTCCAGCAGTCCATCGGCCAATAATACACTTCACCTCTTGAAAAGGCATTTTGGATACTCAAAATTAAAAGAAAACTTTGTCACCCCTATTTATTGGGTTCAAGGCATAATTGCTAGGATCTCCCAACCTAGGTGGTGATCCCACTCCACAATCTCGCTCTAGGAATCCGGGAAAGGTATCTTCAAGGGATCTCAATTTTAAAATTTTTGGAACTCGATCCCCGCTATTAGGGATCTTGACCCCATTGTTTGGGATCTTGAACCCCACCTTAAAGACCAAGATAATTTTTATTTATAGCTTGCTAGCAATGCAACTATACTTTGCATCGCTTGCTGGCTACAAATAAAGAGAACCCTACTTTAAAGAGAATGTATACTCTTTCCAGTTTTAAACAGCATATATTCTTTAAGGTTGGGAGCAAGATCTCTAGAAGGTTGGGATCGAGATCCCTAATATCTGGGGATGGAGATCCCTAACATATGCATAGCATGGACAATGCTCCCAACTATACGGATCTACTACCCTTTCAAGACTCCCTGCTGTGGATCCCGATTATGATTCTGATCCCACTCCCAATCCCAACAACTTCAAGGAACAATTAGAGAAAAAAAAACAATACTAGGAACAATGGCAATAACATGTGAGGATTGAAAAACATATAGAAGGTCATGCAAATGAGTAAATGACATTCCCAAAACATATCAACGGTCTTCTAGATGTCACCACATACATACTACAAAAAAATAAAAGAAGGAAAGAAAAATTGCACGCATATATGGTACTACATACGCAGATCTGTAGCCCATCCAGTTTGGGCTCGTGCATAAGATGGAAATCTAGCTTCCAGGTTCAATTATCGGAATATGCAATATAGCAGAAAAAGATAAATGCTGTTTACAGTCCATTGCACTTGCAGTACATAAGTTACAAACAAGAAAAGCAATTTTTCAAAGTTCCTACTTTTGACAAGGGAGGTTATCTCCTACTTTTGAAGAGGGATGTAAATTGACTCTATATATATATATATATATATATATATATATATATATTGTTG